ACCGCCGGTGTCAGTACCGCGTCGCCTCCGCCTTGATCCAGACGCGCAGGGGCTCATCACCTGCTGTCTTTTCCGAGGACTGCATCTTGTCAGTCATTATCACGTGACAGCGACTAGTTGATGACAGGCATAAAAAGTCACTACAGAGCCGTGAAGTCGACTAGTCGACTAGTTCGTACAACCCCTAGTCCAAACAAGTTCACCGGGATTAGTGCACGACGGCTTAAAAAGGGTTGCCTGCCCCGACAGCCATCTTGCCGTTTTTCCACTTCCAGCGAAGGTAATGACACGATGTCTTGTTTTTCCGGATACGTCATTTCCTGTCACGGCAAAGACGCCAGCTGATGTCTGCAGCCAAATGCTCTTGATAAAATCTCCGAAGCTACGAGACAGGAAGTGACGTCACAGCGGTCTTAAACGCACCTTATAAACTAATTCAAAATTACTCAAATATCAAAAATTATTAATTCTGTGCACCTGTAAATGCTACAAAATGTATTGAAAACATGAAAAATAATACTTTCAATAAACATGTTAAATAAACTTTCCAGGGCATTCACAAAATCACAGTGCCATCTTGTGGTGAAACTTTGAACAAAGAAGTTGCTTAAACTGCCTTTACAGTACACAAAGTAATGCTTGTGGTTTTTTTCCGCCTGAGGAAAGCTGTGATTTGTATTGAGAAAACAGGAAAAAAAACGTGTGGTGGCCATTTCAGTAAAATAGCATAAATCTGTTAGTTATAAATTTCTTTTAGAATTTCTTATCATTCCTTTTATAATAAGTTAAGTTTGCAATTTAAATGTGTAAATTTTTGGTAAATTGATGTAGTTGTGAACTTTTTGGGCACGCCTTAGTCATTAAGCTGATTAGTAGCACATGGGGAGGCTTGTGGGAAAATGTTTGTGTGCCAAGTGTCAGGGGAGATGGGAGGATTTTGGTTAAATGATTTTTTGACCATTTTTTAGACCTGATAATTTAATTTAAGGTTAATTTTTGTTGGATGAAAAGTAGAACATTTTGAATGAATTTTGAACTTTTTTTTTTTTGGGAAGAATAAACCATTTATACAATTTGCAAGAAATCAAGTCTAAAAGTGCGTGCTTAACGGAAATCACCCGTTCTCACCAACGGCCTTTAGTTGGAAATCGTTTTTTGGAAGTTTAAAGGCCATGACACTTAAGTCAAAAAATCATTAAAGTTGCTGGATCTCGTCTTGGAAGATAGAAAAGTTTGGAAGATTGGAAGGACTTTGATGGCTTGATCTCCACAGAATGGACTGGGAGAGGATGACGCACAGTCTGTGAGTAAATGAGCAGAGCTGAAGCATTTGTGCTGGACTACGAACTGTTGAACCTGATGAAAGAAACTTTCTCAGAAATGGATGTTCAAGAGGACGAAATTCAAAATGAACGAGAGCTTTTTAATTTAATTAAAAGACGCAGAGCAAAACTTGGAGTTCTGACAAGAAAAAGAAATGACATTCATGCTCTCATTGATGATGGAGAATCAAAGACCTCCATAGATGAACATATGAAAACGTTTAACAATTATTTGGGAGAGTTTATGGATTTACAAAATGCTGTTCAAAGGCTGCTCAACGATGATGAAAAAGAAACTGATCATGGGGATTGGTTTGAACCTAAACTGATCAGTTTTAAAGAATTTATTGAGGAAATTGATGCTTGGATGAATTCAGAGCCGGATCTGCAGCCAGGGGCATCTCCTGCTATTGACATTGGACCGGAGGACAGTGTCTCGCAAATTGCGACAAGCAAGCGTTCTGAGAAGCTGCATTCTAGTGCAGCAAAACCATGCAGCAAGAACTCCAATATAGCCCCCAGTGTTGTTAGTAAGGCTAGTGCAAGGAGTAAAAGCTCCCGTGCAGCTTCGATGGCGCTAATGGAAGCGGAGCTGGAAAGAGCCGCTCTGAAGGCAGAGGCGGACGCATTGAAAGAAAAACTTGCGCTTGAACTAGAAGAAGTTCAGTTAAAAGCATGTAAAGAAGCGCTGACTTTAAGAACCAAGTTACGCACCGCTGATGCAAGAATGCAAATTTATTCCTCTTTACAGGATCAGCAGAGCCAGGATTCCAAAGCTAAAGCCGAATCAGAAAGCAAGGGTACAGCTTGCTCTGAAACATCTACTGCGTTCATACCTGCTGCTGTAACAGCTCAAAAGGCTCAAAGAACTCGAAAAACACCTTTGGCTCAATCACCTTTGCCAATGCCTCTAGAGACACCAGCACCTGCCCAAGTTAAACCTGAAGGGGAAAGTCCAAAGCAAATTTCTTCTCAGGCTGATGTTCACTGCAGTGCTTTAACAGACATTTTGAAAAAAACAAAATGAGATAACTGAGATGCTTGTAAAACAACAAAGACTGTCACTGCTTCCATCTGTAGAGATTCCTGTTTTTAGTGGTGATCCTTTGCATTTTAGATCTTTTCTTAAAGCTTTTGAGCAAGGAATAGAAGCTAAAACAGATAACATGCAGGATAGACTTTATTATTTAGAGCAGTTTACCACAGCACAGCCCCAAATACTGATGAAAAGTTGCATGCACATGAGTCCACAAACCGCTTATGTCGAAGCAAAAAAGCAGCTAGAGTGGAACTTTGGTGACAGAGCAAAAATAACTTCTGCATTTGTGGACAAAGCTCTAAATTGGACCGTTATAAAGTCCGATGATGCTACAGCATTAAGAGCTTACACATTGTTTTTAAGAAGCTGCTTCAACACAATGAATGAAGCTGGGTTTATCGATGAGCTAGAAAACTCAACCAATGTGAAGATTCTTGTTTCAAAGCTGCCCTTCAGACTTCGAGACTGGTGGCGGATAATGGTTGTTGACATCGCAGAAAAGTGCAATCGCTGAGCAAGCTTCAAAGATTTTCTTGATTTTCTTGAAAAGCAAACAAAAGCTGCATTAGACCCTGTTTTTGGAGGAAGTCAAAACTCAAAAGAAAAGAGTGCAAAACCATCAAAGGCACCTTTTAAAACTAAAAGCAGCAGCTTTACTTCTGTTGCTGTAGTTTCGGAACAGAACAATAACAAACAGAATTTGGAACAGATTCAGTTAAACCATAAAGATAAAGTTTGTGTTCAAACTCTGTGCCTGTTTTGTAACAGCAGTCATTCTATTGAAAAATGTGATTTATTCAAGCAGAAAGCAAACAAAGAAAAGGTGGAATTCATTAAGAGTAAAGGTTTGTGCTTTGGTTGTTTACAGAGGGGCTATAAACTCTCTGGTCTGGAAGTAGCTGCTTTAAAAGAAAATGAGTATTTAAGGTTGCCTGATGTGTATACTCAAAGATCCATTCCTGTCACCAAAGAAAATATCCCTAAAGAGGAGGATTTAAGAAAATGGTCTTACTTAAAGGATGTTGAGTTGACACCAATAGATGCTGGCATTAGGCTGCTCATGGTGTAAATTCACCCAAAGCTTTGGAACCTTGGAAAGTAGTTAACAGTGAAGGTAATGGGCCTTACGCTATGCTAACTCTCCTTGGTTGGGTTGTTAATGGTCCACTCAACATTGGTTATGGAAAGATGGAGCATGAAACTGGTTCTATTCAGGTAAATCGTACCTCTATTAGTAATCTGGAAGAAATGCTGGTTAAACAGTACAATCAAGATTTTGTGGAGCACCAGTGTGATGAGCGTGCAGAAATGTCGGTAGAAGACAAGCAGTTCATGGACATAATGTCAAAGTCAGCTGTGCTAAGAGATTGCCATTATTACTTGAAATTACCTTTTCGAAAATCTGAAGTAAAAATGCCTGACAACAAGCGGGTAGCACAGCAGAGGGCGCAATGTCTGCAAAGACGGTTCCAGAAGGATCCTTTATTCTTTGAAGAGTACAAAGAGTTTATGCATAATGTTAATGTGGAGGGACATTCAGAAATCATACCACAAGATCAGTTGGAACATGAAGAGGGAAAAGTGTGGTATATACCTCATCATGGGGTCTACCACCCCTGCAAGAAAACCCTGTGTGTTGTGTATGATTGTGCTGCAACATTTGCTGGAACATCACTGAATAAAGAGCTATTGTAAGGACCAGATTTGACTAACAACTTAATGGGCGTGTTTATTCGCTTTAGAAAAGGTCCAATAGCCCTTATGACAGACATAAAAGGGATGTTCCACCAAGTGAGAGTAGCTAAGGAACATGTAAATTATTTACGGTTTCTCTGGTGGCCTGATGGTGATCTGACAAAAGATCTGGCAGAACAAAGAATGTTGGTCCACATTTTGGTGCAGCATCTTCCCCCAGCTGTGCAACTTATGCATTATTGAAAACTGCTGATGACAACCAACGGCTGTGTCTCAATTCAGGGTCTGCATCCTTTGAAGGACCCACCCGGCCGACGTGGGCTGCGTCCTCCGTCGGCCGGGTAGACCGGATGTTAACGGCTGTGAATTTGGACAGGCCTAGCCTTCATGAACTCCCTCGCGAACGTTCCGTCGCCTAGCAACCGTGGAACTGCTGGCCGAAGGGAGAAGGAACTTCAAACGATGGAGCTCGACGTTTTATTTAGCTTTTTAACCCCCAGAAACCCAAATTTAGAAAACAACTGCAAAATCTTTTTTAACCTTTCACATGTTGTTCTAGGAGGCCAGATAAACGGGCCTATTTACACATTTTAACAGCCAATAGTGTTGCAGAACTGAACAATAGGACCTATTAGCAATGTAAATGTGGTTTTCAAAAGAAAAAAAATGTGGAAGGTTTATTTTTGTAGACTTAAATCTAATGTTGTAATATTACAACCGTGGGTCTCTGGGGGTTAATCATTTCCTTGACTGTTGGAGAGCTAATTCAGAGAAAATACGTTAGACAAGCTGAGCCTGAGCAAAGATGTGATAATAGTTTTTAATACTTTCTAAGGGTCTTAATTTGACCAAAACCGATTTATCACCTTTTAAGACTTTTCAGACCCAGCGGGATACCCTCTTGTAAACAATTCTCATTTGTAAACCAAAATAAAATTCAAGGGTTTAATGCAGAACTGATTTTATTTAGATATTTCTTTTATATGTACATGTTTAATCTTTATTAACCATTTTTTTCTAGCAAAGTAAAAAGCTGTCAAAGTTCTTCCTTCTCTCCTGTGCCCTCTGCTGCTCTGCCTCCCTCTGCAGCCTCATGTCCTCCCTGATCAGCTCCAGAAGCTGGTCATCGCTGGCACCTTCCCCTGGATGCCCATTTTCTCCAGAATATTCTTAACAAACATGTAAGAAAAACAACAGGAAGAGAAAAGAGGACAACGGGTTATTCCTTTCATGTTTTCGCAGAAAAAATAAACTCAAACGAGTTTTTAAAATATGAGACGTTATTGTACCTCCATGCCACAGCCGCCGAATACTTTGCTCCGGTGATCATGTGGTCCATCTAAGCTTAATAAATTCCCTGGTTTTCTCTTTTGTCCCTAAAATACAAACTTCTATTAAAATCAGGGGGAAACGTAGCGGGAGAAGTACGACACCGAGCGCGGCCGAACATACGAGCCGAGACCGCAATACAAGCACTTTTACTGTAACATTTCTAACTAAAATAACGTTCATGTATCACAAAAAGTCCTTAACCTAACAGTTTTCAAGTTTATACTGACATTTATATGCGCAATCCTCTCCAACAGCTCCCGCTTCACTGTCCGCCATTGTTTTTAAGTTTTTCTGCCGGCCGGCCCGCAAGGCATCTTGGGAAATGCTACCTATTGAAGGATACACCCGACCCATCCTTCATTCAGGCGAAAAGAAGGCCGCATTCGTCGACCGCATTTGAAGGAGTCTTCGAATTGGGACAGGCCTAGTCGCGGTGCAGTGACGTAACCGGCCGACGAATCCGGCCGACGTAGGATGCAGACCCTGAATTGAGACACAGCCAACATCTCTATCCAGAGGAGGTTATAAACACAATCAGACAGAGTTTCTATGTAGATGACTCTCTTACATCTGTCCACTCTGTTGAGCAGGCCATCGCCCTCTATCAGCAACTCACAGAAGTGTGTGCAAAAGGGGGATTTATGCTCAATAAGTGGGTATGTAGTGATCGCTCTGTTCTTTCTCAGATCCCAGAGGAAAACAGAACCGCAGGTGTAAAGACACTAGATCTTAGTCAGGACCAGCTTCCCACAGAAAGAGCCCTAGGAATACGGTGGGATGTTGAACATGATGTTTTCTCTTTTGGCATTGTGAAAAAGCCCAAGCCACTTACAAGATGAGGCATTTTGTCCAATGTTAGCTCCGTTTACGACCCATTGGGTTTTTTGGCTCCTGTCATTCTCCCTGCAAATCAAATTCTGCAGCATTTATGTAGAATGAAGTTTGGCTGGGATGAAAAAATACCAGCAGAAATGGCACAAACTTGGCAGAGATGGGTTGAGGATTTGGTTCTTCTTGATAAGTTTATTATCAGAAGATGTATCACACCCAATGGATTTGGAGAGATAAAAAGTGCCCAGTTGCACCACTTCTGTGATGCTAGTGAGGCTGTATATGGTTCTGTCTCTTACCTTAGGCTAACTAATGACAAACAAGAGGTGTGTGTTGCTTTTGTTATGGGTAAAGCAAGGCTGGCTCCATTAAAACAAGTCACTATACCACGCCTTGAACTTGCTTCTGCAGTTGTGGCTGTACGCATGGACAAAATGCTATCAAGTGAACTTGGACTTAATCTGACTGAATCAGTCTTCTGGTCTGACAGCACAACTGTTTTACAGTACATTGCAAATACAACAACCAGGTTTAAGACATATGTAGCTAACATAGTTTCCATCATCCATGCTCTGACAAAGGTTTCTCAGTGGAGATACATCAGTTCAAAGTTGAATCCAGCTGATGCAGCTTCTCGTGGCATGAAAGTTGACGCTTTCCTAAAATCTTCCAACTGGATTAGTGGTCCAGAATTTCTCACCAAACCCAAGGTCCCCTGGCCAGTGTGCACTAAGGAGATGTCTGATCGTTTGGGAACTGACTCAGAGGTGAAAGATGAGGTCCTACCCTGTGCAACTGCGATAAAAGAAGAGGAGTGCCCCATTACTAAGCTGCTAAAGTACTTCTCCAGCTGGAAAAAGTTAAAAAGGTGTGCGGCGTGGATCCTGAAGCTGAAAGAGCGACTCAGGTTGCAAACAGTGAAAAAACAGTTTTTGAACGTACCCTGTGGAAGTCAAACATGTGATAAAAAAGAAAATAAATGGGATGCAGTACTCACAGCTGAAGATCTGTCAATGGCTGAAAAAGCTATAGTGACCTTTGTGCAAAAAAATCACTTTGGAGATGAACTGACTGCTTTGAGTTCTGGTTCTGTAAAGAAGTCGAGTTGTCTGTACAGGCTTGACCCTGTTGTCTCAGATGGTGTGTTGAGAGTGGGTGGAAGGCTGAGCAAAGCAGTCTTACCTGAGGAATCCAAACACCCTGTAATTTTCAAAAGGATCTGGCTGCGGCCGCTGTGGAGCTCCACAGTAACTGGAAATACGTAACCTCCACACTAACCGGAAACACATGATCTCCACAGTAGCCGGAAGCACGTAACTTTACTTAAATCGACTTTGACCAAATAGCGATTTTGTTACTATTGATGCTGCTGAGAAATAAAAAGCTTCTGTGTGAAATGTACGGTTGTAGTAGTGTGTCTTAGCTGTGGAGCTCCACAGTCACCGGAAACAAGTGACCTCCACACCAACCGGAAACAACAACCTCCACAGTAGCCGGAAGCACGAAAGAACTATTATTACCATAGCGATCGGAGAGCATTAAGAAGCGTGCCCGTCTGAGAAAAGTGTATAAAGCATGTAGTGAGGGTTTTTTACAGTCTAAACATCTGTAATAATTGTAAAAAAATAAAGTTGGTTACTTCATGGATTTCACCTACCGCGGGTTATTTTTAGAACGTAACTCCTGCAATAAACGAGGGACTGCTGTATTATTAATAGTAGAGTCTGGGACATCTAATTGTTTAACATCAACATTGATTATTATGCACTATTATTTTTGTTCAACGGTGATAAAGTCCTAATGTCTTTATGATAGTTCCATTTTTCCCCATCTGAGCATCGGGGAAAAGGCTGTCTTGCAATTGTTGAGGTCACTAGTGTGTGCCCCATTTCTTCCAGGATCACTCTCTTTATAGGTTTTAATGGACTCCTAGTACTGTGAAGCGGTTCCATGGTACAAAGGCATTGTATTCCAACATCTGGGAGACTGTAGAAATGAGCAGTGATGCCCTTCCTACCATCTTTCCAGAAAAATAAGTGATCTGGAAGCTGTTAGGCTTATTTACAGCAGGAGCACTTTCTGCACCTGCATAAACTCCAGGACACATTTACTAACAGTGTCTGTTGCTGTATGTGCTGCAGCTTTGAATTTTTTAATAATATATATTTTGTTAATATTTTGGTTATGCTGTCTTGTTATGAAATGTACAAGAGTAAAAGTGTTTTTAGCATGTGCTTCAAAGCTAAGTTTGACTGGGAAACTCAAAGCTCAATAGTCTGTATCAACAGAAATTCACTGCAGCCTATGTAATATTTGATGCGTCATAATTTATTCTACTCTATCTTGCAAATACATATTTGTGTGGCAATGTCATGCACAACACACACAACTATTAGATCCTTAAGATCAAACCCGTGTCATTCTTTTGGTCCACTGCAGTGCAGCAGTCGAAAAAAACCTTTACTGTTAATATCAACAATAAGCTTTTTATTTTGAAATTAGAAGTATAAAAAAATAATGTTACATTTACATTTAATGCTGTTATACTGTAATCCTTTCTTATAAGTATGGACAAAGAATCAAGTGAACAACATTTTGAAATAAGTTTAATTGGAATTTTGTACTATAAAAAAACAAAACAAAAACAACAACAACAACAACATATTAAACAAACAAACAAACACAGTCAGTGCCTTCATTTGTCCATTACATGTCAAACATAGCACTGACCCTTAGTCCCTGCTCATCAGCACATGCTTTCAAAAAGAGCTCCATGTCCTCTGCAAACTGAAAAACAAAGAGGAACATGTCCCTTGCTCCAGTGTCTTCTTCCTCTGACAGGTCTCCTAAGACCCTCTGCTGGTCCCCTTGATTTAAGGACAGATATTTTGGCACTGTTACGTGTCCACGGAAAAGTGCCTTATTTTGGACAACCCACTGCACAGCAGGACGCAGATCTTCAACAACTGCTGGCTCCTGTGTCAGGCACATGGGGATAAAAACACAGCTATTTCTCTGTTGCAGAACAGTTTTTTAACAGTTATTCAAATGTCACTAACCATGTAATTACACTACTGTTTAAAGTGAATACTGACCTGACTGACTTCCTGGAACTTGCACTTTTTCAGTCTGAAAATGGGCACGTGTTGTCCTTCAAGCACAGCTTTGGCTTCCTCTCTCCAGTGTGCAAATAGCTTGCCAGAGCTTAACAGAAAATGTTGATATTGTTAAGGAGTGTAAACTTTAACACAACATAGAACAGCAGTCAAAATATAAATACCTCCTGAGATCAAAGTTCTCCATCAACAGCAAGCACCACCATTTACGCAAGTAGGGCATGTCTGACTAAAATATTAGTATGAAACATATTTAACAACTTTCAAAAGATTCAAGACTCCATTGCTGTGAAAGTAAATAGAATACATACTATTGTATAGTCAAATGGTGCATCCAGTGCCACGTACAGAGCAGACTATTTGGAAGAAAAAATAAAAATGTCATTTTTTTAGAAGCTTAAATTAGCTTCTGTATGAATCTCAAGAAGAGAAGAGAAAAATTACCATCAGCATGAAGATCCCACAGTCAACTCCGTAGTCTTGGCTTGGAAAACCCTGTATTACATTGAAAATAAAGGCTCGTTAATAAAATCCTTTAAAAGAAGACTAGTGTAATTCATATTATTCACCATACACTTAAACTAGCACATACCTTCAAGTCAAAGCTGTTTTTTTCTGACCACTGCCCGGGAATGAGCTTCACTGCAAGATTCCTTTTTTTCAAGACAGTTACATTCACAAGTTAACAGACATCATCATGATGGGTGTGAAATGTTTATTGCTAATAGCACCAACTGTAACTACAGGTCTTAGGAACACGACCTCAACAAAACAGCATAACAAAATGAAAAAGTACAGTCACGTGCTCACAGTTGGTCAAAATAAAGCATTTTCAGCTTTAATTTGAGGTTGGCATATTTTATAAACTAATATTTAATGGTGTTTTATGTTAAACTAAAATGTTTGAAGACCCTATTTATGTCTGAAACTCATCTAAAGACAGCATCACTGACTTGATCAGAATGTGAAGATGAGAAATAGAATAAAATGTTGAAGCATCGTGCTGATATAGTTTATTTAAAAAAAGCATGTGAGTGTACTGTATGTGTGAACAGAACATGATCATGCACTTAACCTGGAACACTGAACAGGTTCCCGAAAATTCTGGAACAAACCAAAAATGCTTATAAAAATGTGACCTCAAAAGTGAAACATATTGTTGGCCACCAAATCCTGCCTTTGTGTGTAATGGGCATAGACTGTACATACTGGACAAACGGATTCCATTGGCTTCAATAACACGTTTGTTGTCTATAATGGGAGGTGGCCACCACAGCCATTTTGACCGTGTCACAGGTTCCGTCCAGCCCAGACAATTCCATAAAAGGGAAGAGAGGAGGCGCTGAGGGTGTGGCTGTAAGGCTGGGCTCGAGTGACGACACCCAGGCGAACTAGCTACGAGCTAACCTGAAGCTAACCCTGGCTAACCCAAAGCTAAAGCGGAGGTGGGAGCTGTTGGTCCTTTCTTCTGTTAGACCAAGCACGGGTACGGAGAAGATGGAGTTAAACACCTTTTGAGTTGGTAGAATGAGGAGACAAATGATCAGAGGAGTCCAGTCACTGTTTCACCGCTCGAGAGGGGGAGAGCCCTTTTGCAGCAGGTCCCGCGACCTGCTCTTGCCAGCTGCTTTGGACAGACTCTCCGCCGTTCTACTGAAAACGGCTGATTTTTATTGAAGATTACAGGAATGTTACATACGCAGTTTGCCATGTACATACGTCATTGGTCATGACAGGTGAAAATAACAGCCTTGTTAGTGGACAGTTAATACATCACTAGAACATGCATCCTTGAGATTACTAGGAGCATCCTGATACATGAAGATACATTTCACCGGTACAGAGAGGAGCTGGAATGTGCTCGCTCCCTACAAGGTTGCAGAACAGAACATGCTGCTGTAAATCTTTGTGTAGAGGCCTTGACCATCTAAGCAAGTGTACATATCATAGAGTAATACAACTGAGCTTTATAAGGTAAATATATAAAAGAAGCTTATAAGGTGGATACGTGAAGCTTATAAGGTAGATACGTATATTTTCAATCCCCCTTTTGAACTCTTTTAAGAGTTCAACAAAGATGTAGGAAATCAAAACAACAACAACACCAAATTTCATCAAAAAGAATATAATAAGCAGAGTTTTAAAACACAAATACAAACAACCAATCAGATTACATTTACTCATATTTCTAGCAGTAAACTAATACAAAAAACATGATCATACTTTCAACTGAACATGTTACAACATGTATGGAGCGCATGCACACCCGTATGAGGGCGAAAAACCCTAATTGTCGTACGTTAATAGGGAAAATTCCCCCATGTCCCCCCATTTTGGGGCGAACGCCTTTTGGCACAGAGTGGGCATGCCTAGGACATCAATGATAAAAAAAATAAAAACAAAACAATCAAAAAACTCATAGAAATGAACAGGTGGAGGGATTGTTACATAAATCACTGAACATTCTCACACTCTAACAACATCTTCTTCATCATGAGAGTCATCACTTTCATCAGAGGGTTCCCCTCCCAAATAGATGTTAGGATTGGCTAGTAACAAGGGCATCTGGATAATTGGGTCAGCAGGTGGAGGAGAGATGGCAATGGTAATCAATCTCTGGACTAAGTGCCTAAGACAGGGGATACAGCAACAGCCGCAAGTAACAAGAATGGCAGCGAAGACAGACATGGACACCAGGACGGAGGAAACGAGAGATTTGTATTTACCAAATACATCAAGCCAAGAGTCCCACATGGAGGTGTCTACACCAGAGTGGGATTTCATTTTTTCTGTCAAAGAGCGGAGGCCGTCTAAGGCCTTAGTTAAGCTACCATCCGAGGCCGTATTGTTGGGGATAAAAACACAGCAATCGTGGGAAAACATGGCACACACGCCCCCTTTTTCAGCTAACAGCATGTCTACAGCAATTCTGTTTTGGAAAGCCATCAAGGAAGTAGCCGATAGTTGTTGGTGAACTGCCTCAAGAGCAGTACGAGTGTAATTACTTAAGAGTTGAACATTGAAATGGATGTAGTTAATGCGGTCGACATTTTTATTGGGAGTTATCCAGACAAAAATAGATTCCCATCCGGCGGCTATTCGGTCAACTAATTTGTATTCGTCTGGAACGCCTCTGGGAACGCCAATTGCATCTATATAAGTGGGATTGTGAAATGCAGGTAAAGCTGGTAAAGATCGCTTTCGTCGGGTGCTAGAGTAAGAGCTGGAAATAGGGGCATCATGAAGGGTTACAGGAGTAACAGTGACAGGTAACAGTAAAGTAATAAGGGCACACAAACCTGAAGATTTCCTGGGAAAACCATTATAGAGCTGAGGTGCACCACACCACCACCATAGATTGGCACGCTTTTTGGGTTTGAATTGTGAAGAAACTGACATGGTTGTATTAACGCACCAATTTGTGGTGACATTCCCTAGAAAAGGACCGCCTCGTCCAATTAGATGAATACAACTGAAGTTATTAGGGGCCACAATGTTGGAAAAGAAGGGCGTACCAATATCATCGCCTGGTTTTTGCTTTGGAAAGATTTGTCCAAACTTGGTACAATTGGAATTTAGGGAAGTTCCGTTCATCAAATGAAGGAAACATTCTGGAGGAATCGGAGGTGGTACAATACGGAGAGTAGGACGAGCTGAAAGGCAAACAAGACAATCCTGATCAGAAGCATTAGCTGCTTGTTCAGCCAGGAGTAACCAATTATTAGTGCTAGCGGAAATGCCGGTAACCGTCTGAAATGTCTCATCAACCGAAGGGTTTTTAGTCTCAATAGTTATCGCTGGAGAGGGTTTATTCACTTCAGCAATGTCAAGTAACACAGGAGAGGGGGGAGATTTACTTAGCCCGACAATATCAAAGACGGTAGAGGTAGGTGAAGTAATATTACGGACACAGAGGTGCACTGTCCAGTAGTAGCTCCCACTAATCCAAGGAGCAAGTACAAATAGGGTACATCCAAGGGAGTTTATTGGACTAATTATGAAAGTCAAGGGGCCTGTTTTAGATCCGCCTTGTTTTATCAATTTGATTCTGGTACGCCAAGTTGTAGCTACTCCTTTGGAGTAGGATGACCAATCATCGCCTGTTTCAGCAACAAGACTGCTCCACTTCCATTGAGAGTAAGATCCCCACGTTAAGTACCAAACATGCTCTTTCAGATCAGATGGCGTGTAATGACCATGTGCAGGGTTCGAGGGCAAAATGTCATAGGGGAGTGTAACCGTGGTGGCTGTGGATAATGGGATACACAGAGTGATTGCTTGGGTTAAATAGAGAAAATCAGAGTTACAAGGAGGTGAGGGGGATGGAAGAGGTAGGGATCGCTTGTGCCGGTCAATAGGTGGTGGAGGATGGGCCGTTGGTGTTAGCGGGGTAGGCTTAGGGGATGAGGGTGGCAAGAGTGGTAAGGGGAGATCATTGCAGAGGAACAAAATAGCCAATGGGATACATAGCAGGATAACAGTGAGAAGTAGGATCAGGAGACGCTGCCTGCACGTGAGGATGGGAGGGAATGGCCAGGACATAATTAGGCTTATTCAGGAGTTAATTTAAGAAATTGTAAGGGTTATAGCTGCTGTAATCAGTGCCAGAGAACGCACTATATGCTAAAATTGCTATTGTTACCAAATCTTCTAGGTCAGTGAAATCGCGAAAGTATCTGTCGTTCCACAACCCCAACCTGCTGTCCCTGTATGCCAACCGGTTTAGTTTACTTGGATACCAGACTATTGGAAAGGATTCTCGTTGAATTATGTTACCCTCAGAATCTTCTTCCGGCCAGGACAAATGAGTGATCAGAACGTACATTAAGTTTGTAGAAATGCAATGAGCGCAAACATATATCTAATACTAAACAGGTAAATGAGTAATAATAAAAATGAGTAGTGAGTATAAAATATAATCCTTGTAAAATAAATGAGGGTGTTAAATAGAACCCAGATAAAATAAATGGAGGGTGTTAAATATAACCCTTGTAAGATAAATGAGGGTGTTAAATAAAACCCTTGTAAGATAAATGAGGGTGTTAAATAGAACCCTTGTAGAATGTTCATAGGGTGGTTACTTCTTCCCCCTGTTGAGGTCCCTCCACTGGCTCCAGGCAGCTGCAGGGGGATATGATATCAATATTCTCGTCCCGCAGGATGTGGTGGCAGCTTGGCATGCTACCTCGTCCCGCAGAATTAGTAGCTTGGCACGCTACTGTAGTCAGCTACTTCTCTTCCTGGTTTTTTTTTTTTTTTTTTTTTGAATCCTTTTTATGGTTAGGCAGATGTCAGCTGCTTCTCGTCCTGGTCCTTAGGTACTTTTCTGGTCAGGCAGATGTCGGCTGCTTCTCTTCCTGGTTAGGCTCCTCCCTCTGTGACAGGTTCTCTTGGACCTCGGTCAGGGTGCGGTGTGGCTCCTCCGCAGCAGCACACTGGGTCCAATGGTACCAGGAGTCTCCTTTGCCGTCCAGCCGGACAGCGTGTGACGTCCTCTCCGTGATCCTGTAGGGTCCGGTCCACCTCGGTTCCGTCCACTTCCTTTTGGTGACTTTCAGCAGGACCCAGTCTGTCCCAGGTTGTGGAGATGGGGCATCTGTGGTGGTACGATCAGCCTTAACCTGTAACGAGAACTGAGAGACAAGACTATGCAACAGATTATAATATGACCTTGAGTCGAGGGAGTCAGTCAAGTCAGCAGTCAGAGGTAGTTTTGTGGTGGGTCCTGGAAACGGCCGTCCAGTCTGTAGTTCAAAGGGAGTGAACCTTGTGGTTTTGTTAACTGAGCTCCGTGTGGACATCAGAGCAAGGGGCAAAGCATCTAACCAAGTTAATTTGGTCTGTGCACAGATTTTAGCCAATTTGACCTTTAGTGTTTGATTCATCCTTTCCACCTTTCCCTGGGACTGAGGATGATACACTGAACCAAACTTGTGTTTCAGTCCCAGCATGGTTTCAACCTCTTGTAGATCTTTGTTCTTAAAATGTGTCCCATTGTCCGATCTGATTTTTTCCGGAAACCCGTGTTGGGGAATGTAATGATTGATCAGACATTTGATGACTGTTTTGCTGTCTTCTTTTTTCGCAGGCCAAGCCTCCGGCCATCCAGTGTAGGCATCTACACACACTAGGAGATACCTGTAGCCTTTTACCCTGTCAATCATATCTGTGAAATCTATGA